ATAAAAAAAAAGGGGGGGGGGGGGGGAAGTGTCTTTGGTTGCTACTGTACTGTTCTTGGTATTTCCTAAAATCTATTTCACTTACTAAATACAAACATTAAATTCATTGGAAAAGACATTCTCTACCAGCAGAAGATAGTACAAAGACAATCTCACCTCCTTGATTCCAGGTCTTCATATTTTCACCATGCATATTAGAACCTGATTTTTGTGGGGTTGCATTTAACAGCAAGTTTGCCACACTGAGAACCACATCATCTACAAAATCCCGAGGGAGGGAAGCACAATTTCTGATTTGTTCTACTTTTTCTCTGGGTTGAAATCCAGGCATCCAAATTGTACCAGCAGTATCAGTCTCATTTTCAGGAAGTTCTGAGCCTGCTCCTTTGCATACACCATCAGAGTGATCCTTATGATTAAATCCAACTCTTCTGTCACACATGACCACAGCACAGGTCTGACGATTATTAATATACTGTGTTATCTGCTTGTCAAACAGAGCACATTCTGTAGGTGGATAGGTCCTATTTTTTCCAATAAGGCACACCTATTTTAGTAGAAACAGGTAAATCATTATTTATACAGAGTCCCATACTTACAAACAACCCCCCAACCTGCACGTATCTTATGCAGGCTTCTAAATCTACCTACAGGAGATATCCATTCAAACTCAATGCTCATTAACATCTGAGGGTTTTTTAATTTTAGTTTTCAAGTAAAGTATTGATGCCACAGAAGAAATCCAGTAATCAAACCATAATCCATCATGCCATACAAGCACAGAACAAAAAGATTGTTCCTGATCCTCAGATTATTTACAAAATTAAAGCTAGACACCTCTTCCTACTCTCAGAAGATTTCACTTTGAATTTCATGGGACATGAAAAACAGCAAAATTAAGTACAAATAAGCAATACAGGCTGCTGGAAAAATTAAGGCAAAAAATGATTTTTGTAAGTTTTCCATCCTACAGGGTGGCATAAGAAATAAACCATAAAACCTTCCATTCTTTCTTTAGGATTGTACCTATGACGTTAAGAGCAGATTACCCAAGAAAACAATGAGTATTTTTAGTCTCTCTTCAGAGCATATTGTCTCAAGTAATGCAACTGACTATAGTCTGATCTTACAACAATAATAATGAACAAACAATAATAACGAACAAAAATAATAATGAACAAACATCCACATGCTTCAGACAGCTAGCAGCTTGAAAAAAAAAAAAGACAAAAGCCCTACACAGTTCAAAATTACCCTTTTTGTTGATGGAATTCTAAGGCAATCTTCTTCCACATGAAAGCCGCAGACAAATCCCACTTGGGCAACAAAATCAAGATATTCTCTGTACTGAGTTTTCTTGCTTTGTCTTCGGCTGTATTTTCCATGGAAATCAAAGAAGCAACATGGCAGCACAAAGTAGCAACACAAATAGGAAGACCTACAAAAAGGATAACAAACTGCTGAATGGACAGTTGGTTCAGAGAACACACAAATTTAACAAATAACCCATCAAATACAAGAAATAATGGACATTTTTACTAAGTGACAGAGCTTCATGAAATAACATTTATATGTTCCTCTTAGCATATCTATCTGCATAACTAAAAATACTGTTTCACAAAGTATTTACTATAGCAAATTACTGTGCCAACTTGGTTTGCAGGACTAAATCTCTAGATATTAAACTACTGCAGCTTGCTGTGAAGAGCACAGCGGTTCAAGGAAAGGCAGAACCAACAGCAATTTTATTAAAAAAAAAAAAAAAACAGATTCACATCTAAAGAATAAAAACCAGTTCTGATTTTTGAACTTCAAAAGCAAAATGCTGTACTGAATTCTATGAGAAGGTAAATACTACATCTGTGCTACTCCACAGGAAGAGAAACTTTTTGTAAAAACAATCCATTGGCATCAAAAGCAGCAAGTCCTGCAAGGACAGCAGTTGTGGCTGCAAAAGTGACAGTTTTCACCAAGCATACATAGGTAATTATGTTTTGGTTTGTTTTTTTAATTCCTTCCCTCCCACTCCCCTCCCTCTGCAAATACCTAGCTGCAATTACAGGTATCCATGGTGTTAATTCATCTGAATGGTTTCCTATGAGCCAGTCAGTATCTGGAAAGAGATGACTGTCACCTGGCATGATTGTAGATTCCTAAAAAAACAAATAACACATTAAGTGAATTTTATTACAGGTTTCCTTATTAACAAATAAAATGCATTTAAAGTACTAAGCAACAATATAAAATCATACAAGCTGACAAATACAAGGTGAATGAGAACCACAGACACCAACAATATTTTCCTCAATCTGCACTTTTGCCAGGCAGTTAATTTTTAATAGCTAAAGAAGTAATTTAGCAACAGCTACCCAATAAAAAATATTGGTCAAAGAGTGGAATAACAATTCTGATTAAGATATCTGGCACCCTAAATATTTGTAAACAAATATCATACATTGGATTACGATTTCTTGCCATTCTCCGTCACATGTATATCTGGACTCAATTTTTCAGAAAGTCACTTGATTTGCTATGTCTTACAGTCCTAGGACTCACACAGCAATTAATCAGAACACAGCTTCACTACTACACAGACTCTTCCCAAATCAAATCCTAATATACAGAACATCACTCTTCACACTCTGTCATTCACGTATAACAAACCTAATCCAGCCTAACACTTTCCCTCTTTTCTACGTTGCCATTCCATCCCCTTCCAAGTTGTGTCAAGACTACCTTATGATATGTGCAAAATCAGGAGCAAAAATAGGAGACAGTAGGTTAGAGAAAGAAGGCTTCTTTGTTAGCCTTTAGAATAGCATTTTGCCTTGTGGAAATTCAATATATATGGATTGTGGAGACATCAGCACAGAAGTCTTCCCACCACAATATTGACTCATAGAATAGTTATTAGTCTCAAGAATATCCTATTCTGATATTCTTAAAAAAACAAAACCAAAACAAAAACAACAAAAAAAACCCATAAGGGAAAAAAAACAAACCACCAAAAAAAACCAAAACAAAAACCCACACACAAACAAAAAAACAAAACCAACCACCAAACAGGATGAAGTCTTCATACCGGTTAAATTTTAAAAGTTCTAGAGTGCCTTTAATGTTTGTCTCTCACACACACGTTTTCTTACCTAGAACTAAGTTCGGCAAAGAAAGTAATTAAAAGATGTTGATACTATGGAAGTACATATACATACTGTTCTCTAAAAACAGGTATGAATCTCAAAATAATTATTGGGAAGATCTGAAAAAAAGTTTTAAATTTGAATCTCCACAGACCTTTAAAAGCCCTGAAAATGATGCCCATACTCTCATTTTCTATATAAAATGTATATTTTATGAGGTAAAAATTCACATGTATATGCAAAATAGTACCTGTATAGGAATTTAAAAAAACCAACACTTAATAGGGAATTTCAGAAATCTCGAATTACCTCTGTTACATCCCAATTCCCCTCTTCTGAAAGCACTGTGTTAGGTGTTTTAAGTATCAGTATGGCGTATTACTGTTCACTTTAAACACTGTATCTCTGTCCATTTTTAGTTATATGTATACATTTCTAGATAATACATGTAACAAATTTCTTTTTGGCAGATTAGTAGATGTTAAACCAAGTGTTTGATAAGTGTTTTCTTATGGTTGATTAAACAAGTTACTCCTACGTTACATTCCAGTTTTGATCATTCAATTTAGGCATAGCATGAATTATCAGTGTCATACTCCACATTTTGACAGTCACCCATAATCAAATTTGTATTCACCATGTCTAATAGCAGTTTGGCGATGCAGAGTGCCACCTGTTACATTCATTTATATTGTTAGTATTGGCACTGAATGTCACAGATGGCAATATTCACCCTGCAACTCATGCTTTAAGTAAAGATCAAAACAAAATTAGCTTCGAGGATAACAAAAGGCTGTGAGCAGGTGCTTTCTCCTTCTGTGGCTCCTGTGGCTACAGGAGCCTTGCAAAATCATTTCTCCCTTCCTGTTCTTTATACAACTCCTTCACACATAAATTAGTACTTTCCTTATATGCATATTTTGGATATTTTTATTGTTTCTGTCTGGCTTTTTCAAGTGTTCTCTGTGAATTCTTTCTTTTTTTTTCTTTTAAAAAAGGCAGATAAAATCCATCCTTTTCTATTTTGTTCCCTCATGCTGCAGTGAGGGACAGCTGATGCTCAGAAGTTTCCTTATGAGTCAAGAAATCTGAGAAACTATAAACAGCCAGACCTTAATATGAAATGAATGTACAAAGTTCAAGGATTTCCACAATACAGAAACAGGGGCAGAAAAAGGAATATATAACATGAAGGCAAAGAGAAGATGCTGTTTGGTATGATCAAAAGTGACTTAATATAGTACAACAGGAACGAAGGAGCACCACAGCTTGATGTTTTGGATTGTTTCTTGAAGCTTTTCAGTAAGATCTGGTTGCAGACTGCAGCAAAGGAATCTGGCAGTTTTGGCAATCTGTACGCAAAATGGTAGGGTGGCAAAAAGAAGATTGCACAAGACTGTGAAAGCCCCACCTCCCATCTGTGAAAACTGCTGCTCTTTTGTTGATTTCAGTTGTTAGCATTCAAAGATATGTTGAATTAACTTTTAAACAAAACTACTAGAGAATTAATTACAGGCGAAAAATTATTTTAATATATTGGAAGCTGACAATTTTTGAGAGACCAGAGTGAGAAATTTTAGGAGTCTAGAGAACAAGAAAACAGGAACACCTCACCTCCAAAGGGCAACTGTTCATCAGTACCACACTTTAACAAGTATCAGACCAAGAACAGCTGGAGTTAAAGTGAATGCATCTGTGCTCGAATTGTTCCTGTTCTCATAAAAATGCTAATGTGGAACTTGAAATATAATTCCTCTTTCAGACTCATTTTCCTGTTCGTTTTTTTGAAGGCTATTACTGCAATTACTTACCACAAGGTCAGCAGAGCAGAGGATTGGCTCCTTTGAGATTCAACAACAATTTGTCCCCAAAACAGCACATAGCACTAGAAGGTCAGAATCACTTTCAAGAATAAACTACTCACAACTTTGGATACTAGTATATTTTATGAGGTACAGTGGTGCAAACAAAGCTGCTTAATATTGATCTTCCAGTAAAATCAGACTGTTTCATGGTATGCATGTCTGTACACGCAGTAGGAAATCATACTAGTCTTCTCAGCTGAAAAATAAGTAAGTTGCAAATATGCAAGGGTATGATACAACATTGCTCTAATAATCCCCTTTACAACTTACTTTATAGTCCCGCAAGACATATGGGTGGCATCATACCAAACACACAGATCACTTTAGACAACTGTCTGTGACCCGGTATGTTTGATTACATTTGCATCAACACAACCTGAAGCAATGAACAAATGAATAAAGTTACAAATCAGTAAGATTGACATACATTCGCATAATACCTCTAAATGAGTTTCTGGTCCATACGTGTCCCATATTTTTCTTCTCCTCACATCAATTCCTCTACCTGAATGCTGAAATATTTGAACAACAAGAAGTATCATTTTTAAGTACTACTTTCAGCAGAAGTTGTCAAACAGGCTAACTAAATGTACGTATTAACACTAAAATTTAATCATACTAAAATTTAGACACATAATGAAACACAGCTTCACCATTTCAGGCAGAAGTTGAATACTTTTAATCCCTTCTTTCTCTTCTAAATATGAATGGAAAGACTTGGAAACACTAAGAATATATCTGGTTTGAAATTTCACCCAGGCACACCTACTGAGACTGCTCTTGAAAATTTGGACCTCTACAAAAGTAAAAGCAGAATATTGGTTTTTGTTTGTTTGTTTGTTTTTAAAATATCAAAGGCGAGTATTACTGTAGCACCCCCAGGGCTCAGAGAAGAGTGCTATTCTAAACAGTCCTTGCTGGAAGAACCACCTTTCGACTACTGAAGTCAATTAGGCTGTTGGGAGTCCAAACACACTTTTCCCTGTGTGAACTGATGGGAAGAGGAAATAAGACTAGAAACTGAAGCAAGAAATAAAGAATGCACAAGTAACAGTATTTTAACTTCAAGAACCCTGTGCAGAACTGACCAAAATCAATTACTAAAAAAGTCTCAAAACTCTCATACACATGATTTTTTGACAGTCAACAATGTTTGTCAGTGCTACAGCAGTGATGACCTAATGATGTACAAAAATAAACATCTTCAGGGAAGACAGCATCTTGTATTAGATCAATTTTTTCTGGCCACACAAGGATAAGCTTGCGTTAGGAGAACTTGGGAGTTTTTTCTTCCCCCAATGACATCTATCGATCTAATAGGAAATATTAATTTCTTTTACAAATTTTACCATGTTCTCCCAAAAGTGGAAAATACAATTTTCTGAAACAGACAGACCCAACTTCACTGGGTTTTGTTCAATCTCACTGACCTTTTTTTGTTCTTGTTTCAGAAACTATGTCTCAAGAAACTGAATTTTGCTGTTGTCACATTTTCACTCCCAAAAGCACAGTCTGTTGTTAGGCATTTTCACAATTAACACATCCCAGGATTGTTTTTAAAGACATAGAAAAACATTTTCAGGACATGACAAGTAGAATTCAACTTCAATAAAATTAAGTTCATGAAAAACATCTCATTTAAAGGCTCTTGTGAGAGAGAACCTTTATGTTAAGATTCCCTATTCCTTTTTGCTTTGTCTACAGCATAACTGAATTACACCATTACTTTTTCTTTTCCCTCTTAGTTTCTTACCTCAGAAAGATAGCCTTGAATTGAAATGAATTGCACTAATAAAAATAGATAAATAAGTGAAAGCTAAAGCTCTGCTAGGATTTTTTCCTGGTAACTAGAGTGACAAAATCCTATTTTAGCAACATGAATTAACTGAATTTTGGCTATTTGCTTGCCAGATAAAAGCAAAGCATAACAAGAATGTTGGCTATCTCTATTTTTTAATTATTATTTTAAAAAGCACTTTATTTACCCCTTCATTGTTTAGAATATGAACCAGTAGACCATTTCCACATCCAAGATCTACAAATGACTGTTTCTTGGTCAACCCTTTTTCCTTTCTCTCTTCTTCCCAAAGAATCTAAGATAAGAAAAGAAAACATTTTAGACTTCTGCTCTCAAGTTTCCCTGTAAAAAAGCAGCAAAGGTTATTGGAAATGAAAGGAGAAAGCTCGGAGAGAATCCAGATGTGACAGAAGACATCCCCTGTATTCACAGAGAAAATAACTTTAGAGGAGGAAAAAACCCAGAAAACACTAAAACTGTTTATGGAGAGGGGCAGGAATTATGTTGCAACATATCAATCATTTTTTAAGTGCTAAGCACAGCCTCCTTTCAACTGGAAGTTGAAATTAATCAAGGCTATACAACCCTGGGCTAGAGTGAGCATAAATGTAAAATAAGCTGCTAAAACAAAGGGTGCAAGAGATGAACAGAGGAAGCAAGGGAAGTAGCAAGTAAACTTCAACAGTGTCTCTGCAAGTAACACAACGGAAGCATTTATATCCACTGTATTAAAGAAAGAATTGGTAGCAGAGCTGAAAATAAAAACCAAAATGTTCTTTGTAATCCGTTGACTATATATTGGTACATGTAGCCACTTTCTACTGAACAAACCTAGCAACAGTCAGCTGCCCCAAATTCTACATCAGCTAAAGGGACCCCAAAGCTTTTAGCCCAATTCTAGTCCCTGCTCTGTACATAAGTAGTTACTTTTACATAGTTATGTAATTCATAATTAGTTAATAATTGAATGTTTGTCTGCAGGGCATGGATTAGTCTCTTTCTATCACCGTCAAACTCTTTTTCCTTCAATGAGAAGCTAGAGAGCACACATTCATCAACTCTGCACACTTATTTTTTACTATGACTCACAAAAATCATCAAAAATATTTAACCACAAAAATTAGCATTTGTAACATTACTGCTTGTTAATGTGTCAGTTTTGCTAGAGGGAAAGAAGCTGCAGATAATCCATGAGATTATCAGGCTGTGTTTACATTTTTAAATGTACCAATCATTGCACTTTTGCACTCCAGGCTGTAACCCAGAAATCCCTAATCACCTCCTACACAGATCACACCTATCCTCCACCCCCTGCTGAGTTTCTCATGATGCAAACTGAAGAGCTACTTCTTTGGGCATGTGCCTAGACCTTAATATGACTGCAGAGTAAAATGAGGTCAGATGTGACATCCTCCCATCATACCAACCTAGATGCTGTAAATCCATAAAAACTTAACATTGGACCTACCTTCTCTCAATCACCTGTTTAACATACTTCTAAATAATGAGTTACTATATACCATCATAGAGATACCTGAAAATTTTGCAAGGAGGTTAGGTTATTAATACCATATTTTAAGCTTTCATTTATATAAGCCAGTTATTAGATGACTAATAATTTTTTGAACATTACTGCTACGTCAGCTAAAACACATTATCACTGTAAACTAACACCTATGTGCATAAAAATTTGCAAAACATTTTCAAGAGTGTCATAGAATTTTCCTGTGGCTACAATTATTATAATTCCTAACATACAGGAACTAATCTTCAACATACAATATTATCATGGTGGTAAAAATAGTAAAAGATAAGTCTACTTTATAGCTCTTTCCACAAGCCAGTACCATAGAATAAAATAATTCAGTTGGAAGGGACCTACAACGATCCAACTATCTGACCACTTCATCATGATCATTTCTCTGATGTAAAAAGTTCTGTCACACCAATGTGACAATCAAGATTTTGAGAGTAGCCTAGGTCAGTCAGGCTTCCTCAGATAATTTTAAAAAACTTAATGGGAAAAGAAACTGGGGTTCTAAGTTTAAACAGTCAATTATCAAAATAAATTAGTCCTCAACAAGTTCTGTAAATGAGCTAACTTATTTACAAATACTGATTTAGAGAAGACACAAGAGGTATCTACATTATACTTCAAGGGAGACATGCTCTTAACTGCAGTCTGGATGGCAGTCAAAAAATATCAATGTGCCTACATAGTGACAAATTTTGATGCTGTTTAAAAAGCTGAAGTTTCTCGTGACTGCAGGTGGCAGAATTTTCATACATTCTTAAACAGCTAGGTGCCTTAGAAAACTGCCCCAAGCATTTATCTGCGTTCCTAGAATCTACAGTTAGCCCTTCTGCATTTGAAGATGGGATTTGTGCTGAACTTTTATCAGGGAAAGGCAAAACAGTGAAAAACCTTTAGCATAAAATTAACAAGTCATAGAAGTAGGTATAAAACAATAGCTTCTGATCTCCAAATCAGTCCGTCTAATCACTATTTTTCTGTCATATCAGTGCTTTTCGCTTTATCACTTAAAAAAAAAATACATCTTCTCTGTGTAGGTCATAAACTTCCTGTGACAGAGAGCTGCAGATCTTTATCATATCTTCAAAAAGAAGTTTTAGTATCCTTCTAAAATTAATTGTCATTGTTATTGTGATGATTTTTGTGGTATAGGGCAGTATAAAAAACAAATCAACTGATTTTCCCTTTGCTTTATCACACTGATTTTTTTTTTCCAATTCTGTTATAAAATCCTTACCTTCTATAATCACTTATTATATGTAAATTATATGTAAATGCTGTTGAGAGTACTACCAAAGATCAGAATACAAATACAACTTGAATAGAGTTATAGACACAAATTCCATTTTCAGTTTAAGTTACACCTGAAAACATTGTAATAAGAACTTTGTCTCCCTGCTTAAATGAGAGCAAAAACAAAACAAAAAAAACCCCAAACCAAAACAAAAAAAAACCACCAAAAAAACCCCCCACAAAAAACAAACCCCACACCAAAATGCAAGAAACCCACACCCTTTCTCTTACCCCCTTCCTTTTACCTTGTATGCCTCTAATAATTTCAGGTCATTCTATTTTAAAGAATGCAACAACTATAAAATGAAAATACTGATTTTCTTTAGAGAGGTTCTATTATTAGGAAATACAACCTTATAGAATAGTATTAGGCAAAGCAGTTCCCTACCAGCAAGTAAGTGGCAATGGCAACATCTTCATAAACAAATTTCTCAGGATCTGTCACTTCAGGCCACACCTTTAGAAAAAAAAAATAGAGAAAAAAAATATTTTCTGCACCATCTGAAATTACTTCAAAAAGCAGTCAGAGTGATCTGGATACTCATCCACTTCAGGTTTCTGCACTTCACAAATTTTGCATTTTAACTCATTAAAAATATACACAAAGAATGCAAATAAAGACTGTTTGATTTTGTAAGTCACACAAAAGAATAATGGCGTAAAGAATGTCTGCTGTCATCCAATCAATAAAGTTTCCAAGAACATTATGGCTCCACATGTGCAGCTCACAAGAAGTAAACTGCTGCATCTGTTCTGTAACAGAGCACGCATCCTTTTGCATAACTTTCTCAAAAGAAAAATACTTATATCATTCCTGTTATGTGCAACATTGATAAAATGAGATTTGTAAATTTATTTTCACAATGTAACAGGCATGGAATTATCCCGGCAGAACAGAACATGAAGAATCAAAATGTGAAGTAGGAAGACAAAAAGTGGAAGTATTATCCCTATTTTGTAAATGAGGAATTGAAACAAAGATTAACATGCTGAACACTACACTAAGTCTACTGCAGAGCTAAAGACTGAACCATCACCTTACCCACAAGTCCAATTTTCCTCTCTTATGTAGCTTTTTACTAGTATAGAAATATCAACAGTAAAACCTTTCAACATTTTCACAATATGTTTTACAGAAGCATTTACCAATTTTTTTGCTTGTAGCTTGAGTCTGGTGTATAAGGATATAGGCATTACTTCATAGAGCACTTAAGATGATCACAGCCATTTTTCAGGATTCCCAGGATAAAACAATATTACAACATTGCTCCTCTAACTCAGAAAGACATATTAATATTGCATCTAAATTTAAGAGGAGTAATAGGAAATTTAACCTGCTTACAAACCAGTGCTCTTTCTAGACTCTTTCACATTTTGGAGAAGGTGGTACTTTATTTATGCCTTCTAGCATGGATTACTTAGTATTTACATCCACTGACCTACTGCTTACTTCTTATTTGAAGGGAAATATTCTGAGAAGTATTTAACTCCTCCAGATATTTAGTGTGAATTTGGCTCCAAATCTTGCTTTTCCAGTTCAGTTCTTCCAAATACTAAATTGGTTGTTTCCCACATACACAGAAAAAAGAACAAAACACCAAACCATAAAACATAAATGTCAACTAAATTGCTTCTTTTATTAAAAAAAAAAAATTCAGTGAAAGAAGCAATTTCACTAAACAAACAACAACAAAAACAATTACAGGAAAGCATATTATTACTGCATTTATTGCCAAACTTACCTTTACCATCTCTTTGTATTTTTCTTTAAGGTCTTGATAAACTTTGCTGTATTTTGCTACAGAAATGAGTGAGAGTGTACTTTTAAACTCACTGGGCTTTTGCTCTACAGACCATTTAGCCAGTTTGGACAAAAGTTCATTTCCAAGCCATGCTAGTTTGGGGTATGCAATTCCATCTGAAAACCAATCTTCTGGAAATGGAGCTACAGTAGACACAGACCTTTAAAAATAAAATAAAAACTTTGTATAAATACAGTGTATTTCATTATCTCAGCTACCTCAAAAAAAGAGAAAATAATGATTAAGTGGAAAAAAATCAGCAGATCAAACAGAAGTGTAATACACAAAAACAAAAGGAAAATAAAACAGTGAAGTTACTGAATAATGCAACAGCCTCCCCTGAATTTTGTTAGACAGCTCATTATCTGCCAATTCAAACACTGTATATGAGAGTCCATGCTACATTTAACACGACTGAGGACTCGCATATGATGAACAACCTAATTTAGCAATATATCCAAAGACTAATTAGTAAAAGTGAATTCATGAAAACAACAGGAAAATTTTGGAGGAAAATGTATCAGTTGGCACATTTCATCATCTCTAACTTTATTTAGATTTCACTAGAGCTATGCCCTCAGATGCTCAGGACCAAGCTGCAATGGTCTTTCAATGACTATAGGTTCCAAAACAGCAATTCCAATTTGACCCTCAACCTTACTAACACCCACAGAACCTGACCTCTCTCACAGGTATAGCTAGTTCCTCATGATCAGAATACGCATACTTTTTCTAGATGACACACATGTACAGTCAATGTGTACATTGAAAGATGAAACAGATTTGTTTTGTGTTGATTTGGGTATTGTAGATGTTTCATTTTTAACTGAACACTATGCACTAAGATCACACCGCTACTGTCATTTACTAATCAAGCAGGAAATTACGCAAACCAAATCACCTAGATACCACTAATAAAACATGGTGTGATCCTTTCAGTAGCTCAGGGTTTGCTTCCTCTCTCACTCCCAGCACTTACCATTCCTCATCTTTTATTTGTGTAAGTTGAATTTGATAAATATTGCACTTTTTAATCTGGTATTTTCCTTCACTGTTTTCCTCCAAAGGCAGAAAGGTCACAGTTCCATTGTAAAAATCTGAAAAGATATGTAAATACTGATACATTATTCCATGGTGCAAACCATCCTGGTTAACACCAAAATAAACTTTTGTCTCTTTACTATGTTAAGTGCGAACTACTGAGGCAAGATCTAGGACAACACAGGAAGAACCACAATGCTAAGAATAGATCTGTTTCTCAGTGTGCCTGACATCTGAAACTACTGAACTGTTTGAATTCTCAAAATCTAGCATTCTGCTGCATGATGTTTCCAAAATATTTAAGGCTGACCAACAAGACTATTCATTTTCTTCACACTTAACTATTTTAATAAAGTAAAAGCTAGACAATGAGATTTTTCTAGCACAAAACTGCTGCTTCCCTCTACCCCACAGTAAATCCGGAGTCCTGGGAAGCACATTCCAAATTAACAGAGACTTACATGACACCCCAATATTAGATAAACAATCAGTGCAATATAAAAAAAATAATCAATAATATTATTAGTATCTATCAATTGTGCCATGTTCAAACACAGGATCTATTGTGTGATTATAATTAAGTATTGCTACGCTTCTGGTTTAGCATCATGCAGCTTTCCCAATCAGAGTTCCTGGACTAAGCACTGGGAAAAAACACATTATCCCTAAATTAGTATCTCATAACTCTGAAGGGACACTACCTAAGAACGACCTATTTTTAGGTGAAGGTGCATGTATTATATTAATATATTAAGTTATGTTCAGCAACTGTGCTACTGATCTTATCGGTATCTATCACCTATGGAGCAGAACATTTATGTCCAGTGACAGATTCCAAACATGAGAGATTTTGGAAGAGTTTAGATGGGCTGACAAACAGCTGGCAATGCACTTGAGTGCCTCTACCATATTTCAAGATGATATTCTGCAATTTTTGTCACATTTCATTCTCTAATATCAATCATGCACGTACTGTAATTAACTCCTACACAAGTAAAAACAGAGAGAGGGAGAGTGTGCCCTTTTGAAATAATTTACAAATAAAAAGAAATGCGACTGCAGCGAAAAATGAATGGTATGATAAAGCCTAGTGCTCAGATGCTACTGATTTTTTAAAAATCTTAATCTTCTAATTCATTCCCTATATCCTTCCTATAAAGTGACTCTAAAAGCATTTACTATATTCCTTATGGCATATGATGTGTATGCATTATGATTTCATAAACCAGTTGCAAAAAATCTTTTTAGCTATTGTTTATCCAGGGCAATTTCTTCAGAATAACTTATTAAGTGCTCATTTTTGAAAATGGTTTTTCAATTACCATCAAAACAAACATCCTGACAACTGCAAATCTTCAAACTAAGAATGCTATATTGGCTAAGTAATCAAATTTCAATGGACTCCAAAATTTTCAGAGTGAGACAGGAAAGAATAATTAGCAATAGAGCAAACATCAAGTCTTGCTATCTCGGCCCATCCTTAGCCGATTCCCTCTCTAACATTTTTTTATTTTAAACATATTAACAAAAAAAATTATTCTCCTAGGCTTTTCCTTACAGGTAGGCTCTCTAGATGTAGCTCAGGAACATCTTCTCTTAACATCGAAAGAAAAAATAAATCAAAACTGCAACATACACTTTTTTTTTTTTAAGGGATCAGAGTAAGAATCATAGGCCACAAGAGCATCTTAAGTCAGCTGTCCCCCATAAATGATTATAGATCTTTCTGAATTGTAAATTTAATTGTTTCTGGAATGCTGATTCTTTCCTAAACATTACTATTAGAATTTAATCCACATCAACACTTTTTCCAAAATTTATCTTAAAAAGGTGTCAACCTCTACCCTATAGAAGTTTATTTATGCTAGTAGGATTTACTGCAGCATATTACCATCATAAAATGTAAGGGGGAAAAAAAAAAACCACAAGTCAAGCTTCATTTTTAAGCAATACTAAACAATAAGAAAGTCGACACAAACAGTTCAAGTTGGCCAGGCAGGTGCCACAGCTGCCTACTTTTTTTCATTAACTCTGCATTTTCAAAGGCTACCGTCACTCCTTACAAGCCTGTAATTAGGTTTGCACTACAAGCAGCGTTTTTGTGCGGGCAGCTTACTCATGACAGGAGCTTGCACGATGACAGTCCTTCTTGCCTCTTCTTTTTAAGGAAGACAAAAAGATGAGCCATTTTCTATACCTTTTCCTCAGGCGCGGGGCGCCTGGCTCCCCTGAGTGCTTTTCCCATCTCAGCAGTACCTTACACAGAACACATTAGCTCTTCCCATACTATGCTTTCCTCAGGTTGAAGCGGGGTTGTTTAAACCCGAGTCCTACAGATGTTTGACCTCTGTAATTTGTATTTCAACTGCTGACACTTCCTAGCACAAGAACACCACTACCACCACAAGATAAAAATACAAGATAAAACCTAAGCACACAGTAAGGACAAAAATCCATCTGCACTCCCACAAGTAGGAAAAAAGTCGCGTTTATCTTAGCTGCGGGACAGTCTCGATGGGACAGGTCTGCAACAGCCGCAGC